AAATGTATTTCTCTAAAGATATATTGAAATTATTGCTAATCATCGAATGTGTAAAATGTGTACAAATTCATCATTGAAGTAGCCAAAATACTAAAAATCTTTATACCGTATCTTCCAACTTTGTTTGATAAAAGTTTGATTTTCTAATTCGTGACATTTTTCAAAAGATCTTGACTGATTTGTTGTCCCATTTCCTGTCAACGTATTGATGAACATCTGAACATTCGTCTTCTACTTCCAACTCTACTTCCTCTTTAATTAATGTGCTAATAATTAATCGTGTCGGATATTCCCCTAACATTTCCGACACTAGAACATTATTATCGCGCATGCTGACGAAGTAGCGCGCGACGGTGCCTCGCGATCTTACTTACAGACTAGCAAGCGTGCATCACGATATTACTACACCTACGCACTTTTCTGCCTACTACTCTTAATGGATTAATCTTCTTTGTACATCATCGTGCATCATGCACTAGGAACAGACCAACGATTTGCAATGGAATCACGCCGATTGATCATCACATTTGAAGAAATCGGTCTTTCTATCGTGTAAGTTTCTAAAGTTAGCCAATAAGATACCGATTGAATCATTCGTTTATACAATTTAGATATTAATTATATGTATTATGAAACAAATAATAATTCAAGTAAATATAAATAATAATTCTACATAAAAAAATGAATAAAACATGTAGAATAATATTTTTAACAGGACATTTCGCTTGGAAAAATTTATTTAAAAATTAAATATTTTTTAAATCTACATAATTTTCAATAATATTATGTAATAGGTCGACGTCTATCAGAAGATATGATAAATTTAATACTTAAAAAATATAAATGACTAGCTGATATTTTATAAATATTTCGCATCCGACCGATTCCTTCTAAAGTCAAATACATGCCAATACTAGAAAACTGATGTGACGCTCAATTGGCGCTCTCTCACAGAACGCAGTATCTTACAGATCTCATTTTCGTATAGAAGAGGTCTCAGAGACGTGTGTTTATGCGGGCCGCAAACAGATTCTTGTGGTAGATCGAGATGTTTCGAGATTTAGCCTTGTAAAAGAATAAGGAGATGATTCTGTGCTGACTCAACGTATCGATTATATGCGTTTAAGTGCGTAATCGTATCAATACGCTTAAACAAAAATTCTTGTACGCGAACGTAATTTCTTCACTTATATGGCTAGGTGACGAAATCTCATGTCTGTTATGCGGCCCCTCGTGACCTTATTGAGACCACTGTCTTACAGTAATAATCCGATCGAGCGAATAAGCACGTAATAACTGAGGCGTACGGTTCCCATTTGTCATTTACAAAATATGATCGTTTGTGTATTTATATACACAATATACATATACAAAGGTATACGTACGACCACAGAAAATCACATACGCTATTCTATAAGAAAACCGTCCTGCAGTTGTAAAATCCGCAAAAAAGCTATATACGTACGGCCGATGCGGCATAATTAAATAAAATGACCAGGAAAATAAAGGAGTAAAACAACAATATAAACACTATACGTTCGTCATTAATGTTCAGATTGGAATTCCTAAAGAACACGATAAATATTCCGTCTTAAATCTACTATGTGCATATGATTATAAAACATAAAAATTTGTTAGCCAAAATCCTGCTTCTAAAAATCATAAAAATATCAAATTAATGCCAAAGACTTGTCATTTTTTTTTTTCTATAAGTTTCTTTTTTAAATAAAATTACAATTCTGTAATTTTATTGCAAACAAAGCAATATCTTGCAAAATATACTTCCAGAAGAGAAAAGTATATTAAAGTATGATTGTTACAACTGACAAAATTACTTCTGTTTCGAAACTAATACATGTTTTTAACTTCACTCAATAGGCATAATAACTTTTGCGCCAAACTAATACAACTTTATCTTGCTAAGTAATGCTGATCCTGCGTGATTCTTGTGCGAGAACAATGATATAAGTTACCGAGTGTGCGCGGTATGAAATCAGTTTTCGAATTCCTCCGATCGACCGTACACTTCGCGCTTCGTCAATCGTGCACGACGCGCGTAATACTAATTGAAATGACTACTGCTAAGAAAATGATAAATGAAAGTTCTATCATGCGAAGACTTTTACGAATATCTTCGTCGTTATCATCATTCGTCATTGTCGTCGTCATCGTCATTATTGTCACAGTAATCGTGCTACCGACAGGAAGGACGCGGGAATAGGGAGCCAGAAGAAGACCTGTCTCGGACCCGGTGGCCTGTCTGCTAACAGCATCGCGTCATCCGCGCAAGAGACGTCTAGCACGCTGTCATTCGTGGTACTCGCCATCCGACGTACAGTCGGACGACGAGCAGTATTCGCGAGCAGCTTTCGTGAGCTGCTCCTTGCGCCGGACCCAGCGCCTCATTTGCCTTCCAAAATCTCTTGGATACTGACATACGTGCCGGTGAGGAAGCCCAACACGCCAAAAGAGATGATGGCGATATTCTTCCACAGCCGCCAATTCCACTTGCCAAGGCCATTCTCTTGTTCCCAGACGGTTACCAATTCGATCATCGAGGGGAACATGAGACCCAACGTGGACAAACATACAGCCCCGACGAGGGAGATAAATGGACCCAAATTGGGGATCGCGATCGCCACGCAGACGGTAAAGATCACCAATAGGATGCGGAGGAAATATTCGCCGAGCAATCGCCGGGAGCCGAAATACTGCTTTGCGTTCTTCCAAATAATCTCCATGGGCACGTAGAACTGAAGTCCGTAAGTGAGGAAGATCGCAATAGCAATCATTATCTTGGTGGATTGCGCCAGCACCTGACCTTGCGGAAGATTGAGCGTAATGGCGGCCCTTGTGCTGTCGCCGTACTTCCAGAAACCGAAGAAACCGACGGTACTGTACAACAATACGACGAAGAACATGCCAGTGTTGAGGACACCCGGACAACCGACGAAATGTGATGGTGTTTTCATATTGTTCTCCAAGGGCATTACCTAGAAACAAATTACGGCTCTTGATGACACATAATAAAATACATATGGAATTGAAAACAAAAGAATGCACAAAATTTAAAGTTTATAGTTCCTATTTTATCAATATAAGATAAGTAAAAAATATAGAACACATTTAAATATCTTTTTAGATTTCGAAATACAGGAAATATATAAAATATAATTTGAATAGTTCTAATATTTTCTTTCTTTGCATTTTATTGAAAATTAAATAATGTTTACTTTAAGAATTTCTATGTTTGAATAATTTAATTTCTGTCAGAGAGTTATAAAATGTTAACGTGATTTTTTTTTGTTCATCAAGTTGGTACGCGTCACAAATGTACGAAATATTCCATGACGCACAGACCAAGGCGTGCCATTTGATTTACGCGTGTCGATACTTGAAACAATCGAACGCGACCGTTAAGTGTCCGAACGTATCTAGCAACTGAATACAAAGTTATTTCTGATGCGCAGTGTCGTAATATTTATCTTCATCATGTGATCGTGCTATGATAATCACATTCTAATCAAAATTCAAAATTAAAATCAATGTATTTTAACTTCTGTCAACAATTTTTTTAAATTGTAAGCATCATATTGGTCGGAAAAGTTAAAAAAAGTTTTGCTATAAATTATAAAGTTTTAATATTTCATTTGCGTTAGATGTTATTTAAAATTTGTTGTGGTATAGCGATATAAAGAAATGAGTATACTTACAACACCGATGCCCTCGAGGGCAAAAATGGCAGTGCCGAAGAAAAGGGGCAGCTGAGACCAGCTAGAGAAATTTGGTACGTCGCTGATAGAAGGCAGATCGTGGAAAATATAATAGAAGGTGATACCCATACCGGTGGCGATTAATACATTTGCCACCATTGAGAACGGCGCGAGATATTTGAGATTCCTCACAAGACAGAAGATGATGAGTAATGGCAGCAACGCGGCCATGTACACTCGCAGATCCTTATCTGTGTCCGTGTAATAGTCCACGACCTCCTTGAGATTGGTCGAAATAAAAACGATGTACACGCAACAGCAACCAACCAGATCGATCACCAAGAACGAATTAATTGTTGCCCTGAAACGGTATTAAATAGTGCGTATACTGATTTACTGAATAATATAAAATAAAAGAGAAACAGGAATAGCGCAACGCGACGTATATCTTCGTATAACAAATTGTGAAAATGAAATTTGTTGTGCTATATATTTTCTAAATGACCCTGGTAATAAAATGCAAACGTAACGTCTCCCGTGAATAAACTCACTTGGCAAGTCTGGCGTATTTCTGAACGGGTTCGGGCCCCACTAGGAAGGCCGCCTCGGCCACGTCAGCGAAGCCCAGACTAGGTGTCTGCAACCGCCTGCACAGGAGATGGGCGGATTTTACCAAGATGTGAACGCAGTAGGTGCAGACTGCGCCGATGAAGAAGGTGGCGAAGAGACCGAAGGCGAGTCCGGCGTTACGGAAGGCCATCGGCATTGCGAGTATGCCCGTGCCCAGGCTCCCCTTGAGTAGATGTATGAGCGTGTCGAGGTCCGACGTGGGATGGGCGAGTTTGCGATGCTCGAATGGGTCATAAAGGGCGGCCTCCTCGTCGGTCGGTCGCTCCACGAGCGGCAAGGTCGATCCATTCGTGACCGTAATGGGCACGTCATTTTTCTCGCACTTGTATCTGCAAAACCGGCGGCGTTAGCATATCGCACCGTAATTGGTGGCAAACGATTTCCGTGAATGGGACGTAAATTACATATGTATATACAGGGTGTTCCCGCAAGGATGTCGTCGTTTCTTTCATCTACCAACTATTTGACCTATTCAGTTGTCAGAAGCTCGAGCGAAATATCTAATTGCGACAATTATAGAGCCCGGAAAAAAATGTGTACATTTATTTGAATTTCCGTCGTCAAGTTATTGATATCTCAAAGAGTGCGTAGATGAAAAAGAAACGGCAAGGGAAATTTTACGACATCCCATACATTTATATATATATTTTTATTTACTTATATATTTTGCACGTGGAATATAAGTGTTACGTGGGACCTGGTTCTGTTTTGCACGGTACGACGTTTTCCTCGTGCCCGCGATTTCCATCACGACTTGATGCGAAGGGGGAATATAATGAGAGTGTGCCGTGGTAGGAGGATTCTCTTTCTTGCACGCTCGCATGCCGAGGAAGACGGAGAGTGGAGGCGCAGACAGGGCGCGAGACGCATGTGAGAGCATGCATTCGGGGCATCGCCGTGCCGCGGCAGGGATTTCGGCGTCTTTAACGACGGTGATTTCATCCGTGAAGATGAGAGTTTGGCGTTACCTCGTTATTAAGTCGTTATTATGAGCCCTTGCATCAAGCCGAATAATATTCGGCGCAGTATGCGATATTAATGCACAAAGCCGGCGAAAAAGACGCATTAGAAAAAGTCTCGAAATATGTGATATGTCCAATCGAAGAGTACAGAGAAAAAGATGTTCTCTCCGTTTAATATCGAATTTATATTGTATCTTAAAAAGGAGAATATTTTCTTGAATTAAAATTTCACCTTTAAATTAATATTTCTGTTTTTGAATGATTAGAAAAAATGAACATTATATAAATTCTTTATACTGTGGAAGAGAGTTTCCGTAGACATAAAAATAAGGATCATTATTAAGTAATTAAATAAATTGCAGAGATTATCTAGATTTTCATCTCCTAGATTAGACAAGCTTCACGCTATTCGTGTGTTTGAATAATGGAAATATTTCTACGAATACTTATCTATTAGTTGAATTTTTTAAACAATTGCTCCTCCTTCTGCGTCTGACTCTCCGTCCGTTCGTACCGAGAGAAGATTGTAGGCAAAATCATATAAGTGCAGCTTTACGCGTTTATTAAACACACACTAAGCCGTTACAATCGGTTACTTACAATTAGAATTTTGCGAATCCATTGAAATCTGTATTTTTAGTCTGGCTCGAATCGATTTGTATTCTAGGAATTTTATAAAAGCTGTCATATTTAAATTACGAGTATTAGTTACGAGTATTCATTATTGTATCGAAAATGAATATTCTAAGAACAAGAAAATGGTGTAAAATGACGTGTGTGTTTAATCAATTATTTCATTCATATTTCATTGTATTTTTTTTCATTACTATGTATTCATTACTATGCGCTATGTCTTTCAACATTATCATATCTTCTCTCAGCGCGTCTACTCGTTCTCACCTCTTTAGAATATGCGTAGAAAAAAAGCGTAGCACAAACCGTCATTTTGTCGCCAACATGAATGTGAAACTCGAATCATATGACTCATTGTTAGACTACATCGCTGATTATAATCTAAAGTAACTCTTTACACGCAACATTTTCTTTTTTAGCATTTTCATTTAGTCTGAGTCGGATGACTCAGACTAAATCGCAATCGCCGGTTGGAATTTCAAGCAAGGCTTTACAAAGCGATATCGTTTTGTTATTGAAATTTCATGATGATAATAGCGCCAATGTTTAATTCGCGCATTCCGTACAATCACGCGGTAAACGACAGCTTGCGTTACTCGGTCTCTTTCTCCGCGTTCTCCGCATTCATGCTTGATCGCAAACACACGATTTCATCCTGAAAAATCGGACGGTAGCAAGTGGATGGATGATTCTGAAGGATATGACGCGTTGGTACGTTAATAATTAACAGTTAATTCGAGACATGCAGACATATTCTCGCTTTCATGAATGACGTTTCATAATCATCGCGGGGAATTTTCTTTCACCGACCTACAGCCAATCGAAAACGCGAGTATCGCACAATGCGTGTTATTCGCTCTGTATGCGAGTATGTATGCGCACATGTGCTGTATGTGTGTGCGGGTGTGTGAGCGCGTGTCACGTGTGTATGAGACAGAGAAAAAAAAGAGCTGAGTAATGAGTAATGCACGTTCATGTAATAGATTCGTTAAAAAAAAAAGAAGACGGTATAGGTGTTTAGGTATTATAGGTACCCATGTCTTTTAGGTGCGGTAGTTTCTCTCCCGTAGTCGTGCGAAACTTTCTGTCGAGAAAGCCCCCGGGATTAGAGTCTGTGTGTGTCCGGTCGTCACGTATTACAACGTGACCGTGGGGTTCAACGCGTCGCGTTACAGGCATAATACATACAGAGGGGCAGCCGCAAACCACCGCACTGCATCACCGCGACGCCCAGCGCCACGACGCAGTACGACGACTAACAAGCCTCCTTTTTGCTTGCCGAGCCACTTGGCCGAGCGTTTTTTTTTTTATTTTGTACTTTTCTTTTTTTTTTATTTTGTTTTCGCTTTTACGCACGTCAATATAGATCTATCACCGAATCGATATATGCCAATACATCTCGGCTCTTTGCCACGGATTTTGCAACCGTCCGATGATATGTTTGTGTCGCGTCCAAGTCGGCATCGCGTCGACGTCGCGTCGCGTCGTCTTTTGTGCGAATGTCATCGAGCTAAAGTGTCAAAAAAAGCGATCCGACAGTGTCATATTTTCTTATTTTTTTTTTTCTCAACGATAGAGTATCTTTTTTTTTTTGTTTTCTTTCATTATTCACAGAGCACTTTCATAGAGCCCGAATCTATGCCCGGAGTTTATACGCTAGTCTGGAATCATATAAATGCACATATTATACAGTAAAGACAAATCCTTTATCTCCTCTGGGAATATATTCTGCTTTGCATACCGCATGACCTCTTCACGAAGCATTCTCGATCAGCGACGAAGAAGAACCGAAGTAGCGATTCTCCTTCTGTTGCCGTTTTTCTCACGAATAAAACCGATATTACTCGGTGCAAATTATGAGATATAAATACACGTGAAAACGTGTATTCATAATGCGATGCAAACTGATTTGATTAATTCGGCGCGTAATGAAATTTTTTATTAGAAGGTTTCCTTCGAATACCACTTGTTTAAATTAATATCCGCATTATTGCATATAAAAAGAGCAGCTACGACTTAATATTTCATTATAATTTTTATGAAATTGTCAAAAAAATTGGACACGAGATCTTTGTCGCAATTTAATTTAATTGAGAATTTAATTATTAATTCCGTGTTTCTCTTGAAAGAGGTACAACTTTGTCGCATGTTTCATATATTATTACGTTCGTCACTCGCGTAACTTTGGCGCCTGAAAGTCATAAATGGCTGAAGAGGAGAATATGAGAATTAAATAGAATTAGAAATCAGTCAGCCTTGGGGAGCAATTGACTGATACGTATATTCCGTTTAGTGAAATTAGAATAGAGCGAGTCGCGATACCGAGAATAATACAGGAAGTCCGGGATAATACATAAATGCATAAGCGCGAAGGTGTTAAAGATCAACCGACCGAGCAATTCGCTTCAAGGTCATAAGAATTCGCATGTGTGAGAAGATTATTGCGTAAATGGATTTCGACGAATGACGGGTAAAACGGCAACAGAGAGGAGTCTCGTCTCGAGCGCAAAGGATCCAAAGATTTCGTAGTGGCCGCGCTACTAAATCAGTCGACGAAGGAAGTGAACGTTTGCGATTTTATCGCCGTTCTTCTCATTTATCGATTACCACATTTTACGCGGAAAACCAAAAGATAGAGAGCTCTTAGTCATTAAAGAAATTATTGACGACTATCATACTTTAGGAAATAAAAATTTTATTTTACGTAAAAAAATATTCATAGAGAAAATAATTAATAATCTTCTTTTAAATTTATATATCTAAATTTTAAATATATATATATAGTATATATTATATATATTACATTAATATTAAATTAAATCATTTTAATTATATTGCAATAATAATCTGACGTATTTATAAGATAGAAGCAATGTTTAAACAAGCATATTCCTTATGTGATCAATTATGTATAATTAATCGTGGTCTCTATATTCACATATTATGATTTTGTGCATAATATAGAGAGAGAAACTTTTTAACTATTTGTTCGTTGTTTCTGACAAGTCAATCGAGATAATATCTTATCTTATTATAGACATATTGTGCTAATGTTTAGCATCCTTTGTTTACCCGATAAAAGAAACTTCTTTTTATTGGCAAGATGGCGGTAATTAAACGATTCGCAGATTGTACATTCGGCATTAGTTTTAATCTTCAAGGCATCATTTTTTTTATTACGAATAATATCAGTTTAGCGAATCATTAGGTTAATTATTTTAATTATTGTTCACTTAAAATCAGTATCAAATTACTTTTTGATTAATTTTGTAAAAGAATAAAAATAAAGCTTTGATATGACGGTCCCACAAACTAATATTATGTCTTAAGGGTTAACGAATTAAGAAGGTTGTAAGGGCATGAAACATATATTAATATTTACGCTTTAAACAAACTACATACGTGTGAAAGTTGTGTTCACATAACATTCTGTTTTTATTGAGCAATACATTTTTATAGATTATTTATTTTATTTGTTATTAGTTTTATTGTCATAAACAAAAATTTTTTAAATAATAAAAATTTGAATGTTTTTATATAAATATTTTAAGTACTAAAAATGACATGCAAAGTTTCATTGAGATTCACCAATTAGTTTATAACAAAGAAATATTGTGTCTATTTACTGAACAATTAATGTCTGCATCTCAATGTAACACTTTACATAAATATTCTTGAATTCATAAAGTACTTAAATAAAAGAATTGAGATTTTTTTTATCATTATTTTATAATATACATTTTCATATATTTCTATTAGAGTACAAATTAAAAAAATATTACTTTTTATTGAAATAACTTTTGATCCAGATGGTAAACTATCTCTAATTTTTTTGTATTACTTTTAAATGCAATTTAGAATATAATCTGTAATTTTTTCAAGTAATTCTTAACATATTGCATTTGTCTTACAACCTCCTTAAGAATGTTTTCAGGTAAGTGATATTTATCATACGCAGAGTTTGCACGATGTGAAAGAACATGACACAATAAGCAGATACATATCTGTACGCAACACAAACGAGCAACTTCGCAGTCGTCCAAGATTCAGCAGGCGGCCGTCAAGCATCCCTGGTGCCAGCTACGCTACGAATTCTACGTCAGCGATCAGGCGGTATGCATGATTAGTACGTAATATACTAACAATTAGAATAGTTTAACGATAAAAACGGAACAAAAAAAACAAAACAAAGGAGAAATGAGCAAGTCAATTAAAATATGTAACCATAGTAATATATATAGTATAGCACAAGAGAATGGGTATAGAGTACACAGATTAACGAAAAAACGTAAATGCACAATATATGATCCTCGGGTTTGTTCTCACTCACGTTTGCTTGAGCATTTGGGTTTGGCAAGAAAGCAATGGTGATGATTGGTCGTGGTAGCAGATAGTGAACGCGCTCAACTATCGTTGAGCCGTTCGTTCGCGTTGATTTCTCTAGCGGAATTTTGAGACTTACTTGACAAGCACCACGTCTGAGAGTTCTGTTTTCACACCCTGCTTCTTCGGCTCGTATTCCGCTATCATCGGGCGCATTGGCGTTCTCTGTAACAGAACAAGAGGGTCGGAGTTAATTGAACGAATTACGAATACTATTTGGCCGACGCACGTGACGAACTGGTGTGCGCGCGCGCGAATTAATTAAGTGGGTCGAAATAAACGCGCGTTATCGGCGAACGCGATGAACACTTTCAAATGCACCGGGACGACGACGATGATCGTTCGTAATTGTCTCTCTTGGAGGGGAGCAGATTGGGACAGGTCAGTTTTGTATCGTTCGGATTACGCGTAGCCTCGCATGTCCGATGTATCGAGCTGCATATATGACACGTTTCGTCGAGGAGGTAACCACTAGGTGAAATATTGTCCCACAGATTACATGATTTCATATGATTTTATCTGATTACAAATAATTTTTTCCACTACATATGAAGTAATTTGGTAAAATATACGATTTTATTTAATATTATACAATGGTTTCTCGTGGTTTTATATGTAATTATCGGATTATACATAGAGATTTCATATAAATTTTATAATGACTTCGAGGACTCTGTCCCACGATTACATCAAGTGGTTACCCCCTCGCGTTTCGTTGTTTATTAAAGTGTGTTTTACCCAATGGTTTCCCGGATTTTATGATCGAGTTGTCGACTTGAGTTGTCGTAACAATGACAACTCTTCGATAAATCAATTACGAATGGCTTTTGCCGTAATATGTTGCAAAAAAATTAACTCGTTTAGTATCGTGCGAATTAAAAAAAAGATACGGTTAAGAATTGAAGTAACTATTTTAGCAATTAATTTCTCGTAAAAAATTATTTATTAAGGTACTTAAACGCATTTTTTAATTCTCTTTGCACTTCGCTGCTGCAGCGAATAATATTTTTATTCTTCGTTCAGTAATTAAATTACCTTAATTATTTTCCAAAATAATTCATATAATTTATAATCACCATAATATGGGGACGATCGTTTGCTGTCATCACCGACAGTGAGTTCATTTCTACATCGTGAGAACTATCGATGTTCCCCATTTTCGTTTTTGCCTTTTTTTTCACCTTATGAATACGTATGATGTATTAGTCTTGATAAACACCGCTCAGACTTCGTAAAAAGACAAATGTTATTTGCACCAAATATTATTCATTGGTATTATTTATAATTCACATCAACACATCAACAGTCGTCCTAATAGATTGAAATCTCCAGTCTGAAAGAACGTGCCGCACGATGAAGGAATAAAATCAGACCGCGAAGAGCGGGAACGTCAGAGTGCTCGTGCGGTACCACTTTGAAAGGGACTTTTTTCCTCTCGAAGAAGAACGTATCTCCGTGGATAATTGCGAACGCATCACGTCATCCACGTTTGAGTCTTCGTTCACATTCGCGTTCGTTTCGCGTGTCGAAGAGGTGCGCGACGAGGCGAAGACAAGGAGTCTATCTTGAGATGCCCCGCCTGTGGCGCGACATCCGGAGGAGAACGCGAAAATCGACGCACCGACGCGTGTGCAAAACGGGCGTCGCGACGACCGAATGTCCACGGAATGCCAACAGATAGACTAAACTGAGTGTCCTCCCTGTGTTCACTTGGACGCTCTATCCGCGAGCGGGGATAGAGCGTCCGCTACTTGAGATCCGCTCTATGTACGGCGCCGCGCGCGGCGCAGAAAAGCGCGGTTACTGCTGCCAAATCTTTCAGCGACGTCTTCCGAGGACGGGTTCTTTATATACCGAACGGCTACGAAAATAGGAAGAGCAAACCGACGCGCGGTTGCTGCTCACGTGAGCCGTATGTACGTCTTTGCCGGCCATCTGACCGCTAACCAGGTTTAAACAGGATTCTGTTTGAACGACGTGACGGACGGGGTTCCGAATCACCAACCATCTCCACGCTTTGGCTCACGAATTAGTACGTGGCGCTCGGTTCGTTGACAACTCATTGCACGAGGAAAAATGGAAAATTTACGTATCTATTCGCAGCACAAACGCAACGCATTATATTAAGTATACTGAAAAAAAGAATTATGAAATTCGAATAAATATTTGTTCAAATATATAGTTGTATGCTTACGGAAAATAAATATTTATTCGATTTAACAAATGATACCTAAATTTAAGTTTAATTTTATTTAATTAAACAGATATTTGTTTACAGTAAGTAAATGATTCCATTGATACTATCTAAAACATATTTATTCGTGAATTTTTTTCAGTATATAAGAATAATATAATATAAACCGAAAGAAAAAAAAGAAAAAATTGTATGCATTATTGTTTTAAATATACTGAAAGACAATTGTAAATTTTTTCTTTTGATTTACACCAAACTAAACTTTGCGACGTTTTCCTTGTCCCATGATACTGAAATATTTTTTATATACCAATGTTCGCACTTCAAAAATAGACGCGTCTTCTCAAATCTGACGTATCACGATTCTCGTCGTTTCAAGTTAGGATTATTATGATGATTTGGACTTTAGACCAGTGTCAATAGATAGCGAATACACGTGCAAACAACACGAATCTAATGTCATTTAGAGCATAGCTGAAAATTTACTACATTTGATGGACCTTTGCATTCAATGTTGTCGAGTCTAAAAATATACGCGTAACGTTAATCAGAGAATAAATCGCGATTTATTTATCAATTTAAGTAACTTATATTGATCGAGTACAAAAATATTCATTTCGATTTTTAACGGATATCTTTACAAATATTTTTTTATGTTACCGAGTTACTACCATATGAATACGTCACGATTACGTAAGCAAATACGTGCATTCGTTGCGTTTGAGCCAATATACATAGCAGACTCCTGAGATCATTTCAAGATGAAAGTCTTAAAATATCGAGGCTAATAATAGTTCTTAAATAAAAAAATATTAAAAATTCATAAAATTATCCGAGCTTTGCGCGCATAAATTTCTTACGACTCTGTGTCGTTAAAAATTCGTCGACTCTCTGTGTAACCCACATGTCTCAGTGCTTATTTTGGATATTTGGAAAATATATCGTCGCGAAGCACGAGGTACGCATCCGTAACGGCGCAGCGCCTACGCGTAATATCCCGCCGTGTTCCGGTCACGATAAACATCTATAAACCCGATCGTCTCGACGACGCGACGACGCACCCATGGAGGAGACCCGGTTCCCCGCCATTCTTTCCAATTACACACCTCTGTGTAGGTCGGCCTCGTGCACGAATTCGCCGTCTATTTTTGCCCCGCGGCGCCTCGAAACGAAAACGACGCAGTCTCCATGCGATGAAACCGGGGAGAGATTTTTGCGCCGCGCAAAGAAACTTTATCCCCCCCGCTCTCTCGTCGTCTCTTTCTCAATTTATCATAAGTGAGACTGACAATGAAATATAGACATTACATATAACTGTTTTGATATCATGTTGTAGATTTAATATCTGCTTTATAAAAATCGAAAGTAACAATGATAACAATTATGAAACTGATAATATAATTTTAATTTAATCAATTGTATTAGAACGTTTAATTTTTTCCAATATTTTACTTAAAATTAAGACTAAATTTTATGTTTTTGTTTTTTTTCCATGTACGCATCAGGATGAATTTTTCTTAAAACCAGACTTTAAGAAATAGTGGTTTATTAAAAAAAAATCGAAATAAGAGAGAGAGAGAACAATTTATCATAAAATTTAAAGATAATATGATGACAAAGCGCTAATTACTTTGATATCGATTGAATTGGGTATCATCACCACAATGTTGTCGAGTCTAAAAAATACGCGTAACGTTAATCAGAGAATAAATCGCGATTTATTTATCAATTTAAGTAACTTATATTGATCGAGTACAAAAATATTCATTTCGATTTTTAACGGATATCTTTACAAATATTTTTTTATGTTACCAAGTTACTACCACATGAATACGTCACGATTCCGTAAGCAAATACGTGCATTCGGTGCACCACCAAAAATGTTAAAAATTTCCACTTCGCAGTAAGTGCAGCGAAGTGGGAATATTTTTGCGGTTCTGAAGCACGTGACAGTCTGTTAGTGAATGAGACATAACTGTAGCACTAATCACACGATAAGCGGAAACCTCAAAAAGTAATCGCGGACGTAGGGTAGCTTAATCAGCGACGGAAAGAAGGAAGGGATAAAAACGATATCGAAATGGGGGAGCCAAGCGGCCGAGGCCTTGAAGGCTAATCGCGCACGATCGTTGTGTCATTAGTGGCAAAATATGCATACACAATTCCACGAGCAAACACCAATACGAGATAACAGCTAAATTCGTGACAGTCGTTAAATATATACTGATATTGAGCAACCGTGCAAATTGCAGTCTGTTGGCGTATTACTTTTCCGGGTATTGTTTGGGTGTGCATAATAAACGACACGAGGTAAAGAGTTTTTGCATCATTTATATGAGATGAGGCATGAAGATCGCCAAGAATCTCAGCATTGCTTTATTTATAAAACAAGTACCTAAGTAAAATCGTTATAAGGATAGTATTCCTAGATTTTTTAAGGCAAAATATGAAAACAGATTTTTATTGTAAATTATGTTGAAAGAAAAAGGCAAATATGCCATTATTTAATTTATTATTTATTTTGATTAACAATTTATTTGTATTTATTTATAAATAACTTATTCTTCATTAATTTGTTAACGATTGTTGTTTTTAATAAAATTGCTCCTTGTGATATAACTAATTAATTTGCACAATACTAATTAAAAGAAAACATTAAAAAAATTTTTTTAAATTATAATACATGTCCTAAATAATTAAATCTGCTCCTGCGAATCAAAGAAAATTTTAGAATCTGTGATATTATTGAGGAAAGATAAATATAAAATCTTTGTAATGTAAATTATCCTAAAAATAAAGAAATATTAAAAATCATAATACAAACAAAATAATTAGCTGCTGTTTTGATTTGACAAAAATATAAACACATGTCAACTTAAAAATACATACAAATCAGTATTAATTCAATGCTATTTTGTATGTGAATTTATAATATCTGTTGTACACGAGAGAGAGTGTATTACTATTAATATTAATAAAACTGATGTTAATAATAATTACAGATAAATTCTTATAAAATTATTTAATTATTTGAAATTTTATGTCAAAGGATATGAATCTTTTAACTAGCAGTAAATAGAAGCATACGTTACACGAGATCGTAATTGATAAATTTGATGGACCTCTTCAGTGATTAAAGTCTAGACCGATGGAACGCGACAAAGTGATTCCGGTAGATATTTCGAACGCCGCTAATGACGTATCTACAATTGAATCGTTGAAAAAGATTTAATCGATTCAACCGTCAATAAAAACGACCGTAACCAAATATAAACTCGCTTTAACGAGCGAGTCCCGAATCATAAATCGGCGTAATGGGTTCTCTATTGAATGAAATTGCGACGTATTAAAGGTCGTGGCTTTTTTGCGTTCCTTTTGGCACAAAGCATGTGACTTCAATGCCACAATAACGACGAATTGCGAGACCCGGTCTGAATGTGATTGCTGTTCTCGCGTCTCTTCTATATATATGCCGCGTATCATCTATATATGTACATAATGTATATGTGTACACTCTAATGCGAATCAGCTAGCCGTCGGCGGCGACAGCGAAATAACGAATTGACAAATCTGACAGCAACGTCACATCCTCATCCCGACAAACGGTGCGTTACGCATGGCTGCACCCGCGTGGGAGTCTCGCACTCTCATTTCTGCTACTGCCCCTGAATTACGTGCGCATGTATTACATGGCAGTGCTTCTCAAACAATGCGAAGAAGAGAATACGGATTTACATGATATTATATATATATATAGATCTAAAGTTTTATTTTTTAAAGAACTTGAAGTCGAGATTACGATGAATTAAAATTTCACTCAACTTTCACAAACTTCACCCTTTTTAATCATAATTTTATTTGGAAATTAATGATTTTAATTGAAATTGATTTTTATTCAATTAAAAACAAATGACACACATATGTATAAAAAACTTTAAAAAAGTGAGAAATAAGTGAGCGAATATCTTACTAATAACAAAATTTAGGGAACGAGTAGTTATACAGACATCATACACGTGCGCAACACATATATGTTGCCGTTGAACTGATTGGTAACAGCATTGACCTTCTTAATCCGGTTGCGTGGTTCAGCCAAATCGCGACCCGGACGAATCAAATTCGTGCAATTATGTCTTGTCATTGGAGACAATGAAGAAGCGGAAACGTTGAAAGAGTAATAGACGCTGCGTTAAAGTCATTAAACATGATTTTATACACTCAGAACGATTCGCGGTAAGTTCTTATCTTCTCATCTTTTCTTTGCCTATTATCTGATCTTTGTCTGCGTCGTTCGAATGACTAATCTCGGCTGATCTGGTCCTTATATAACAGCCAATGTGAAAAGGCTGAGCCTAACTTGCGGTCCCTCATGCGTAGTAAGTCCTCCTCTTCCAACGATTCGCATATATCGCTATCGTTGCTTCATCTTGTTTTAGAAGGATGTCCAGTTTCATTGAGACACCCAGTATAGTGTCTCGAGACAACTCGCGTGACTTCTATTCCTCGCAGACCACTGAACTCCCACAAGCTCAGCAACTGAACACTCGCCTCGTGTTTCCAGTGACGACACGTGCACTCACACAGGAAACTTAATTGCGAGCGCGAAATAAATGGATTCGTATTAATACACTGACGCGAATACAATGGCGATTGAATCATCCCTATTTGAATTGAATTCTCTGGAATTCTCTGAACTGTTCTATAGTTATATAATTTGTATTCGGTAGAAATCGTGTATTGGAATTATAAATATCTATAACACGATTATGTTCGATAGCAACCACGTTTAGCGTAATGACCTCATCAAATGTGTGTCAAATATATTAAAAAATAATTACTTTATCCTTAATTTGACTACACTGTAAATTTAGAAAATTGCTCTCTCAACGATTTGCAATTGTTCCGCGAGCGGAAGTTTAAGTATGCGAGTTAATTGGAGCGTTCCACTAAATTTTAATGAGAGAAAAAAACCTGTATTCTGCAAAATGTAAGGTAATGTGAATAGTCAAGGTCGTGCCTTGATACACGCTTAGAACCGACATGTTTCTTTGCGATGATAAAAATCGAGCGGCGCTTAGGTTTATGACTTTTTGTAATCACTTGTAAAAAAAGGTAATTACAAGAAAGAGATAGTGAAAAAGAATGTCAGACGATTGGCCAAAATCATCAAGGTTGCCAAGCAGCTCAAGAACATGGGGACGTACGAGACACAGACTTGCTGGAATAGCGGCGGAACTGAAGAACGGGACTAGAAAGAGGGGATGGAGAAATATAGTAGGGGAGAACGGAAGGAAGAAGGGGAAACACGACGCGAAAGGAAGAGAGAGAAGAAAAAAGAGAAACTGAGAAAGATAGGAAGAGGAAAGGTGTCAGTTCAGGAAATTTCCATGACGTAGCTGCAGTCGTGCCACTTGCCATTGTCGTTAGACATGTCACGAAGCAATTGACCGAGCAAGTTAAACAATTTGGGGAGAAAGGGAGGACGTGCAATTTTAAAAAGAGAACTAGTTTCGATTACGAAAGAAAGATAACCCATTTTGGTGTCGGTATCGAAACGGCAGAGGAAACGACACGAGTAAAAAGTTAATCGGAATCACGAAGATTGTAGAAAGGCTTACATGAATGTTCGATTTCTACGAATTCTGTTACTATAAAGAAATCTTTCATCAGAAGTAGAAGATTTTCAAGACTCGATCCAGACATATTGGTAACTGCTTATTCGTAATAGAATCAACAGTATACATCGTTTTTAAAAATCGTAATAATAGTTTTTAATCAATAAAAAGGTAATATAAAAAATGATATGAAAAATCTAGCTTATTTAAGAAACAGAAAAGATATTTGTGAAATATTTCCAAGAATGCACAATTTCTATTTATCATCAGCACGTGAAAACAATCCATTCTCGAGTTAAATTTAATCTGTGAGACTACTGTGTTGTGCAGACAGTTTGTTCACTACATGGCATCGATCGCCGATACAAAGTCAACGCACGGCCAGTCAGTCTCGAGGAAAACTACCTTCGTCGGCAATCGATCGGGGTCACAACAGAAACTAGACATTCAATCAGACGATAAAAAGGGCAATGTTTATTCATCCTGAACCGAAATGAGCAAAATAGAAAAATACTGCATCATCCGCGTTAAGGGCGAATTTGCCCGACAATAATCTCGAATAAATTTTAAATTTAAATTTAAACGACTTTAAAAATACAGAAAAGTGTTATTTTTCTTACGTCAAAATCGTCCCAAATGAGTGACGTTCAGAGAAGGTCTACGTGTGCTGACATATAATCATGGAAAGCTAAATATTATTGAAATTTTAAATAGCCGCATGCGTGATGCAAAGGTCGGTCAAAAATACACTTTTACGCCGCGGCCGACTTTCGTGTTCGTTAAAAATGCCAAACTAAAGGAATTTTTGATTGAACGCTAAGAAAATTATTTTACTCTATAGCGAAGTGCACGTGTATACATACATATGTGAGTATAATATAGTATTATCGCGCAAATTCTCAGTACAGTTCTTTTTTCAAAATGGTGAGAACATCCGGTGCGTTTATCACATCGCGATAAATAACATAAATGGAATGCAGCTCGATATAATGTTACTAAAAACAAACGGCATTGATAGAGCGCATCTCGAATTGCAGAAAATCAAAAAAGTCGCGATGAAACAGATAGATAAATTGCGATAAGGCACGCTTTTTAATTCCGAAAAAATATGCGGTAATGGATGACGCATCGTGCGTTGCATTTTGCGTGTATGTTACGTTAATTCAAAGAGAATCGCGATAATGATTTCTCGAAAAATGACAATTTTCATCAAACGTCTTATTTCACGATGACTCAGAAGATGACTGTCTAAAATATGAGAAATTCGCAATTAATCGTTATAGCAATTAAAGTATCAGATTAACATGGCGTTACGTGTTTCGCGAGAATATCTTCTTATCTTGATGTTAATAAAGTGATGTTAATCAATTTATTATACATACATACACATATATATATATATTACGTAACGTATAAAATAGATATATTACGGAGTTTAGATGATAAGGCGATAAATGATAATATTAGAATTATTCCAAACCTTCATTAGTACCGTAATTATCTTGAAACAGTTTTTATTTTAAAATAAAGAAACGGTCAGCGAAGAATTATATAACATCTAGCTAATTATATATATATATATAATAATTAATTATCTATTTATAAATATGATACATTTAATATTTAATGTTTTATAATTTTATATTCTCCGATTATATCAAAATTAATGTTAAAAATAGGTAAATTAAAATAATCGTCTCATTAGATATTACTAAATAAATTTTAATAAATTTCAATACGTTAGAATTAATTTTCATAAAAATCGAATGCGAAGAAAGGCAGCAAGAAACACGAAGTAATCGCAGGAATAATATGCCAACAGACCTCTTGATGATGCGCTTAAATGCGTTCACCTAATTACACAATTGCTGTCTACGTATGCAGAATGTGCGTAATCGCCCGTGACGTTTCAAATTGCGTGTATCCGTAATAAAATGCATTAACTCTTCTGAATCAAATCTGCCTGCGCGATTTGTTCTTATCAATATTGCATGACAATTGAATTACTTAATGTTTATAGCAACATTTGGCATCGTAGTTGTAGTCGTTATATATATTTTTTCCTCATTCTCGCTTCGACTGCGAGTATCTATTTTGTTTTAAGCACAAAAAATGCACGAAGTGTAGGAGTAGAAGTAGGTTGAATAGACTTAAGTAATACTATATCGTACGCGTCGCTGACATTTCAGGGACTATATTACGTGCAATCGCGCCATGTGGCGATCGCATACATGCGATAAGAAATGTACGTTTATGTCAATGCCGTAAAATAACTAAGCAACTTTTGTACTGTTTTTTGTAATTAGCAATTCAAATGTAAATTCTGCAAGCGGTGCATAATTTAACGGTGATTTAATGTAGTCAACTGAAGAATTGACGCGCGAGAGAGATCGTAACATGCAAGGGAGAAAATAAAGTATTATATATTTTAAAAAAAAATACTATTTTAAATAATATCTACTGATACATGCTAATATTTATTTTCAAAAGCGAATATAAAAAAATATTCTGTTTATACGATTTTCATTTCATAAACGTTTTTGTAAATAGCATTTAAAATAATTTAGGAAATATTTCATCTTTGTTATGTGACTTTTTGTTAAAGAGAAATACACATCAGGAAATAAGTGTCTCTAAAAATATATACTTTTTTTTGTACTATCTTCGCTTATAAAATCAATAAATCCAGCGCGTCGCGATATGCGATATCTCAATACTTTGATAGCAACCGCGTAAATTTTTACTTAGCATAAAATTAGTCAATTGCGCAACGATTACTATCTTGTAGGATTAAATTTTTGACAAAAAACGTAAATTATAAATTTATTGATAATTAAGTGTAAGATATTGTGCAATGACAAGTGTAATGACGAATTATTATTAAATCACTCACCTGTATTCGTCCGCCGTGCACCGGTACTCCGAGACCCTTCATATTGTGTGACATTCTTGAATGTGTATTAGCGCTGATCGCTCTGGTCTCAGAAGACTGTCTAGTTCCGAGTATACAAACAGACGTATATAAATATGTGTGTATAGCTGTATATAATTATGTATATACGATTCCTTCTGCTCCGTGCGATGTCTGGCGTCGAGATGAATGGAAACGGCAAAAACGCGGATCCGCTTCGAAATTCGCAGTCGAGCTCGCTACTAATGGGAGGGAAATCCGACGGTCAATGTATTCCCGCGTGTGAATATGTACGCACGTGTACGTGTTCACACGAATGAATAAGGAAAATTATAGCGTGTGTATTATTTGTACACGGTGCGTTTACAATGCCGCGACAGGCTTCGCGGGTGCGCGACAATTCGCAAGGGTTCACCTCTCGGACGAGCGCGGTGTCGCACTGATCTTTCGTCCTCTTTTCACGTCAACTTCCCTCCGTGGATGCCGCGAGATCGGTATATTGCGTGGAAGTCGCCCCGCGGTGGGAGCAGCCGGTTAACGAAGGGTGGGGACCAAGTTGCTTTGCGAATACAAAGAAGAGAGGGAGGAAACGGCAAGGTAATATCGGAGGAACGTCGGGAATCCCTAAAAGAGCTTAAATCTCTGAAAAAAAAAACACGCGCGACCCACCCCTTTTTTATCAGGCTGCGAGGATGCGGTTATCAGTTGAGTATTCGAACAAGAATTTTCAATATAATTTATATAAGAATTTTTGTTCAAATTGGATCCCGAAGTACGACGCGATAGATCGCGATCGGCGAAGAGACTCGCACGAGAATGACGATGCGCGATACGGAAAGCCGCGGTTTCTCCGGTTCTCCCACTCCCTCGAACAGCATACCCTCTTCGTCCCTTTCGATGTTTGCCCCTCCCCGAGACAAGAACGCTTATAGCAACCTCCTGGCTCCTCGTCCGATCCGATTAGATCGCTCCAAGAGGCTCCCCTCTTCGCGAAGACGTATCAAACTCCATCATTACACCCTCCATAATGGTTATTCGTTAACGATAACTTTTGGCAGTACTTGTTGAACTTCTGTGCTTTTAAAATGTCAAGTTAAGACATTATGGCTTACCCTAGAATTATTAATCTTATCAATCTGATTGAATCACAAAATCTGGAAATTTTGTTGGCTCATTCAACTCCTTATACAAAAGAACTGTAATGACCGGAACATAGGATGATTTTCGAACATCATGTTCAAATGTATAGGGATAAGATATGTTGTACTATATTTTTATAATGCGTATATTTTAACAAGTTGACTCTGAACACGGTTATGTAATTTCTACATTTCTACGATTATACTGAGGATGGCCTAATTTGAGACCGAAACGTCTATATTCTCATATATGTAAATTCGATTAATTTTATATAAAGATAAATTTCGCCAATAAAAAGATCGTGCGTTTGTGGTAGATGTTCTACATTTCTCCGTTTAATAACTTCTTATTTTATATTGTATTTTCTTATTCAAAAATGTCAGCTTCGCCATGTTTGTTGTGCCATTTTGGACGACTAATTTATTTTTTTTTAAATAATTCAAGTTAACATAAATATCTATACATACAGTACCAGTCAAAATTATATCACCTTTCGATTTTTTGAGCATAACTTCTGTCAAAGTGAAAAATTAATAAAAAATTTAAAAAATCATGGCGTACATTGTCAAATCTCATTATACTTTACGTACAAGGTACACCTGCCATCATAGTGTCTACTGTATAAATTTGAGCGCATTCGATTCACTTTGATAAAAGTTATGCTCAAAAA